TTCTCCTTCATTTGGATATGCTGTATCCCATCTCCTTCTCTAATTCCTATGTTTCTATAGACTTCATCTTATTCCAGTTGCTTAAACTTTATGACAAAATCTAAATCTATTGAGTGTGTTTCTGTAATATACCCTTACTTAAATGTTACTTTTGCACATTTATCTAATCCGAATGTCGTCACTGAACATTTTACAGTATTAAGGCAATCCTCCAACTCATTGTCATCTTTGGCAAAGAGTTTGAGATCATCCATGTAGAGTAGCTAACTGAATACTTTCTAGTTTAGTTTGTAACCATAGCTATTATTGTTTAGTTAATGCTTAAGGGAGATTAAGGACAGACAAAACAGAAGGGATGACATGAAGTCTCCTTGAAAGATTTCTCGTCGGATATTCATGCGGTTGGAGATGGCAGTGCCTCTGGTATAATTTAGGTATAATGTGGTTTTCCACATCCCCATGCGGAATTTAAGAAAATTTACTATCATTATAATTATCATCATCATCTTCATTATTATTATTATTATTATTATTATTATTATTATTATTATTATTATTTTGGCTTTCTTCTTTTTCCTATATCTACTTTTCGTTAAATTCCTTTTTCACTTATCGTCAAATTTTCTTTCTTTCTTTTTCTTTTTCTCATTCTTTCTTTCTTAAATTAATTTTTTAAACATTCTTATATTTTCTCTTCTTTTCCCCACGACTCTATTTTTTCTTTTGGCTTCTTTTCCGCTTCTATTTTTTATTGACTTCCGATTTCTGTTGACACATTTTATGAACTGATAAATGCATTGAGAAAGGAACAAAAAGTTGCAAACAGAGATGAACATTTATGATATTTAAAAAATGAGATTACATTCAGAGGATTATTTTCATTAGTGACAGTCATTATTTCAAGTAAATATGTTGAAATTGAATCAAAAGTAACTGCGACTTTAAATGAAATCAAGTAGAAACACGTGCGTGTCAGTAAAAAACCGCATGGTCATGTGCGTATGTGTGTGTGTGTATATGTGTGTGTGTGTATGTGTGTGTGTGTGTGTGTGTGTGTGTGTGCAATTTTCAATACAAAACTTTTACGGAAAACGAAATCAATGAGTGGATACATTAAAAATAGATATAATATTGATCGGTGTTGTCAGTAGATCAAATGGACATTATTATACTTAGAATCCGATGGAATGTTAGGGTACGAACAAATAAGAAACGTTTATAAATATATAAAAATTTCCTATATGCTCTTTATCCTATCATATCTATGTATGTATGTATGTATGTACGTATGTATGTATATTAGCCAGCGATGAGTAAGAGTTGTCCTACCGTTATATGCACCAGCGCTGGCGACCTACTTTTCCACAGTAGCGATAACGCCATTGCCAGGAAAATGATGTCCGCGAAGTCCATCTTCCATTGGTCCGAGCAGAAAGTCGAGAGGTGCCAAATTGTCTTTATATGTGGTACGGCAGTAGTTTCAAACGTTTCACTGCAAATCATTGATTTCAACTTGGTACAGGTTTGGAGCTCTCGTGTTGCAAGTTTAAGCTTAGATTCTTTGTTATATTCCAAACTTAACGGTAATAATTGATTGCTGTAACTCCAAGAAAATGCTACCACTACTATCTTCGAAGTTAGTTTGCCCGTTGATACCTGGATCTTCAACTTTTTCTTTGACAGTGTTCTCACTCGATAGACTGTCGTTTTGATTACAGTTCACAATAATGCCAGCATTATAAGAACAACGGTAAAATGATGCAGTCCAAGAAGCACACATGCAGTCTCGCATTAGTTTAGCAAACCCTGACAAAACTGCATTTGATGATCTTTCTCTTTGGGGGTGAGTAGTTTGTAATATTCCAAATTTGCCTCGTTTACAGTTTGAAAATTTCAACAAGATGAGTAATTGAAGGTACCCTTCGTTTCGTGGGTTGAACACTTTACAGGGATGCCTGGAACATGACATAATTATTGCCACTGTTGAAACGCAATACCCAGCACCTAACTTTCCGTAAATTTTGAATGTCAATGAGCATAATTCATTTTGAATAGAGGAATTTAATAGCAAATTTATTATTAGGCCAAAAACATATCACAATATGCTCGTTTATGGTTATGTAAGAGTGTTTGGAAAGAAATTAGGTTTCATCAGAATGGAAATAAAATCAAGTTCACTTTATTTAAATATAACTTATTCAAAGCAAGGACGATTGGTAAACTTATAAATACGTAAAATATATTCTGCTGGGAAAGATTTCTAGCGCACCATAGTGAACTGGCTTTCTTAGTTGCAGACTTAGCAATTGATTCGGGTATACTCTTTTCACTTCAAATAAAAACGTTAATCCAACAAGGTGCAATGAGTCACTCGCCTGGAGGTTAGAATCAGCCATACTGATTGAAAGTAAAAAGATGATAATTAATTCAGTAGTTTCGTTTTTGAAGCATTATAATTAACAAAACACTACTTACCTCATTTAACAACAGAGTGTAGCTTATTTTTTAAAACTCAGCTGCCAATTCGACCCTATCAGTCTGACTTTATTGAACCGATTAGACTTACTATTAAGACAGAAGTAAATGGCTGTGTTATCAGCATAGATACCGAGTTGCGAACTGATGATATCAGGAAGGTCGTTGATAAAAACTAGAAAACCCAAGTTCAAGAATAGAGCTCTGAGCAACAACTATATTTATGCAAAAGTTCTTGAAGAGTGGTCCTTCGAGACAATTTCCATTTCGAAATTTTATAAGAAAGACTGAATCAGTTCAAAAATTCTTCCAGAAATACCATAACCTTTCAACTTGTGAAGAAGACCAGTATGCCAAATTCTATCAACTACCTCTGAGATATCCAAAGCATGAGCTTCACCATTCTTATCTAAAGCTTGATAGACTCTTTCGGCGGTAATCTTTAACAGATCAGCAGTTGTCCTAGAGAAGCGAAATTCATATTACTTATCTAAATGAAAACCCTGTGCTATGAGATGCTTAAGCAGTTCAGATATATAGAACGCTAATAGACAGATAGTTAGAAGAATCAGATGATTCGCCTGAGTTCTTAAAGACAAGAAGTACGCGAGGACTTCGATCAAGCAGGAAAACAAGACGCAACTATTTGTGTAGAGAACAGGAAACAGTTCAGGAGCACATTTATTAAAGACTGTTGCAGGGATGCCATCAAGTTCACAGGTTTTGTGAGGATCCAGTTTCGAAATGATAGTAGAAACCATAGACCGAACTACAGTCAATGAAGGAATTATTCGTACGCCCATCAATTTTGAATATTTTTTTATCCATTTCTCAGAATCTAATGCCCGTATGATGACAAGTTTTAGATTTAATGAGCACACACACACACACACACACGCACGCACATAAATAGACCCCCCCCACACACAAATATAAAAACTCAATTTGACAGGCGAATTATGCAAAACAGGAAAAGAAAAATTATTCGTAGAGTATGAAAAATAGAAAAAAATGAACAGTTTTCACAATATTAATAGTCAATAGCATGGCCTCTCATCTTGCCGCAATCGTTTTCTAAAGTTTATGATGAGATTTGAACAAGTCTTTTCTGAGTTTTTCTTCCATTCTTCAATGGTTACACATTCTAATTCCTGAAGGTTTTTTGGTGAGCGATGATTTATTTGAACTTTTCAATTCTTTCCATAGGACTCATTGAAAGCCATGGCAAAGCTGTAATCTTCTTTTTCTGAAGCCACGCAGTTACTGATTTCGACGTTTGGGGGATCATTATCTTACTGGAAAGTAACTCGTCGAGTTAGATGAAGATATTGCGCTGATAGTTTTCATCCTTAATGTTGATATAGGCTGCAGATTTCATTATTACTCTTACTGCAATTAATTGTCCAGTCCCGCTTGAGCTACAACAACCCCAAACATAATCGAGCCGCCTCCATGTTTTAATGTTACTACTATGTTCTTTGGGAGGAAAGCCTCACTTTTCTTGCGACAAATCTTCTGTACATCATTATGTAAAAAAAAAAAAATCAATTTTTGTTTCATCAAACGTTTTGGCAAAATTAAACTAAATTAAACCAAGCAAAAATGGTTTGTGAAGAGGGGTTTATTGTAGTCGGTTTCCATACAACCCATTTCTATTTAAACAACATTGTATTGTGTAAGTACTTACGCTGATACCCATCGTATCCAAAATTTGGCGATGTCTTTCAAAACAACTCTTGGGTTTATATTAACCTCGTGACACAGTTTTCGTACAGTCCTCAGTGACAATTTGGGTTTTCTTCCTCGTCCAGGCAAATTCTCTGTTGTGCCAAACTGCTTAAACGTCTTTGTAACGCACTGTATCGTAGATCTAGAGGGTTTGAAATAATATTGTAACTATTTGCGGAAGTTAATAATTGTCTGTCTCAAGAAAACGCTAAGCTACTTTGTCTTACCCATCGGGTTGTTAACGTAATAATAACAATGGTGACACTCTATGCACCACGTCATGCTGGAATTATCACAAATATTCTAATGAATAAATAGTCTAGTTGACTTCAGAGATAAAATAATTATGTAAATTACTCATACTTATACGAATCAATCAATTTAGATCGATAATTGTTGTATTTAACCTATTGTTCTGCAAATTGATTTTTATATCCTTTTGTGAGCTTATTAACATATAAAAAAATCTGGCTTCATACGGGAATTAGATTCTGAGAAATGGATGAAAATATTCAAAATTGTTGGGTCTACGAATAATTTCGTCGTTGACTGTATATGCATTTTTATCTTTTTTCCTGCGTTGCTGTTTGTATTGTTTACCAGATGAGATAACGGGTAAATGTCACTTCCTTGTGGAACAGTCAGATGATCCGCTTAGCTGTTCGCATTTGTTTGTTCCTCCAACGACTTGTCACACATACAAGATCAAGGCTAATTCGTCGTTATTTTGACCTGTCTACTCTTCACAATGAAAGGAAGGCAGACACGATTTTCTCAAGACCTGCGGATATCCTCAATCAGCGTTTGGGGACGGGTAACTGGGTGGGAGGTTGAGAAAATATACTGGAGAAACTTGCAGAGTAATGAAGATGCGTATAAAAAATAGTGATTAATGAAGCTGGGAGAAACAAGGAAGAATATGTGAATTTTTTTGCCGTGTAGTTTGATGTGAAGTGCTGTTGGGAGAATGTGGAAGGAAGTGTCAAAATAATGAAATGAATAAAGACAATAAATGAAAAAGAACGGATTAAGAAGAAGGAAAAGAAGGAATGAGAAGATAGCATAGAAGAGAAAAGAGAAAGGCCGAACGAAGTGGAAACGGATAACGAAAAAGAGAAAGATGAAGTGACACTAGGAAAGAAAAGAACAAAGGGAAACGATGGAGAAGAAGAACAAGGAGAAAGATTACATGAAAGACGGGAAGAAATGGGAAGTTGTGAAGGATAAATACCAGGATGAGAAGGACAAAGAAGATGAGAAACATAAAAGCAATGTAGGAGTAGGAGGATGAGGAATAGAAAGAGAAAAATGAATTGTGAAATAAAATGATTATAATGCAAAATTTGCAACTGAGTTTGAGATTGTGGCATCAGTCGTGTTAAGGACACCTCAGGAAGAAAGAAAAATGAAATAAACAACAAATGGCAGAAAAATAAAAAGTAATTGATAAAGAAAAGATAAAAGATTTTAACAGAAAATAAAAAAGAAGAAATAAATATTTGGAAATAAGAAAATTAAATAAAGATAAATTGGCCTATGGGAAAAATAAGCAATTAAATATGTATTTGAATTTCTATGAGATGATTTCTTAATGAAAACAATCATTTAAATTCATACATTTCTTTTTATATTCATATTTGCTTTTAAAATCTGTAAGTAATACAATAAGCATTCCTTTGGAATAAGGTACAATTTCAACAATAAGATGTAATACATTCGCAATCTTTTCATGTTCTAACCGAGAGTAATGCGATTGGCTAACATCAGTGTTACTTTAAAGACAATATCTCATTATCTCAAATAGTCAAAGTAAGAAGTAAGAACAAAAAGTATTTAACGTAACACTGAGTTTTATATTATAGAATATGTATTTCATTTACATCTCAAGTATTACCAAGGAATCCTCAATTTACACACACGCAAACACAAAAACACGGTATATTTATATATTTATATATATATATATATATATATATATATATATATATATATATATATGTGTGTGTGTGTGTGTGTGTGTGTGTGTGTGTGTGTGTGTGTGTGTGTGTATATATGTGTTGTGGATTCCGGGATGAAATCCGGTCTCAATTGAATGACAAACGCAGGAATGAAATATAGCAAATAAATGTATTGACGTAATAATACAATTGGTAATACGGTTAGTAGATCTAGAAATGCGGTTAGTAGCAATAATAATATATATATATATATATATACAGTCTGGGAAATTCAGTATCGAAGTATGACTTCCTTCTGAGTCTACGTGCTCGCAACTGTGACTCCTACAATGCGGTTACCTCACAGTCTCACTGTCTCACTGTCTCACTTCCGGGTATTCACCGGCAGCAGTACAATATGTATGTGTGTATCGTGATTCCTGTGCAAGCTAGCAGGGACACACACGATCACGCGCACAGAGGATACACAGAAATGGAAATAGATTTGACAATCTCAGGGGTGACGTGTAGACAGGGTCATATATCATCAAAACATCTGTCAATGCCACCACTAACACCAAACCAAATGATTTTTATTACCGCTTAGACAGAATGTCACAACAATCGAAAAAATGAAATCAAGGCTCACTACAAATACAGAAAATGAAGAATAAAATATTAAAAGAACATAAAGAAATTTTATTCCTTTAAAAATTGATTCCCTTAATATGCCTGAAGAAGCTCACAAGATCGGAAACACGTTTAGCAAAAAAATGTAGAATAAAATGTAATATATGCAGTAAAACAAATCAACATTATAACCAAAAACGTTTGCGGTTTCTCTCTTTTTTTAAATATACACTTTCCTCTCGTTGCAACAATTATAACGTTTTCCCGATATATATATATATATATATATATATATATATATATATATATATATGATAAAGTCATTACTAATACTTCTACTTCTTTGTTTTATATTTCTGTTCTAATATATCTTTGTATTCCATACCTGTGTTCATGTTATTCTTTCATTGGTTCTCACCTTGGACCATCACCGTGGTACAAAGAACTTGGACCATAACAATTATATATATTTAGATCAAATGCAATTCAAAAATGAATCGGAATTCGATTGAATGATAAGAAAAAGAACAAATAAGAAACATTTATGTTTCACACGTTTATTTATGTTTAACATGTTTCACTTTTATAACAGCTTCATCAGAGAATGAGATGATATTCTTTTTCGTGGTATTCTTTTCTTGGTATTCTTTTTCTCCATATCTCATTCTCTGAGGTAGCTTTAATAATTTTTTCTTATTTGTTCTTTATTTTATCACACAAAGACACACACATGCATACACACACAAACCTGAAACTGATTAAAAATCTGTTGATATTTACAGTTTTTATCATATCAAATATCGACTTTACAAAACGTCCCAGTACTTCCAGTAGATTAATAGCAACATGTTTAATTAGTGCAAGATATATGATGCAAGGGTTGTAGAAAGAAGATATTGGTTCAACTCTTCCCGTAAGTGCTCAATGCGTTTCAGATTTAGGGTGAATGACAGCCAATGAAGACTTCTATCTGTTACTGAAAAATTCCTCGCATACCTCGTGCAATACTACAAGGTTCATTGCTGTTCTAAAGCGATATACTGTGTCTTCAATGATATTAAAGTGTTTTTTATGCGATAAAGTACTTTTAACATACAAGCTGGGACTCGATATTTCCCAGTGGAACATTGTCCAAACCATCATATTATATCCACAAGTTTCTTTTCAACCAGGTGACCTAGCTCCTAACGATTCCACATCATAACTACTCAGACATATTGAGCCGTTTTTTTTTTATAGATAGTGAGAATTTTATAGACAAGTGAGGATCATCAAATTAATCTTCCATTGGTACAAGGACCAGTTTTGATGTTCATATTTACTTTGCATCACTTTTTGTAATGGCCATTGTCTCACATCAATACTGCTAAAAATGTGTAGCTTCTAGTCTACTTGGAGACAGTCTCATATGCAATATAAATCGACGCCCTGTGTTCTTTGGCATTCCTTCTTTAACTTCTATGCAACCTTTTTTTTATCACAGTAGTTCTTCCGTCTGTTCGTACAAAGCGGAATAATTCCGCTTCATTTCTGGCATCGATAAGTGTAATATATTCTTAACGGTTCGTGACTTTCACCACAGCCAATAATAACTCATCACAATTTGTAAAGTTTCTTGTTTTCTCAAAGTGATTAATAGGTTTTTTCACAGCCATGACTGTGGCATTCATCATATGAAAATGAAATACTCAAAGCCAATTTACCTTTTTATATGCCTCCAACATAATCATTACGAGACAGTAGCTGTCATTCTTGCTACATGCTACAAATCAATAATAATGCAGATAGTCAGAAGCAGAATCTACACTAATTCTGTTGCATCTTTTGCATCGTTACACTAAAACGCATTCTCTCAAATATAGCTCATAAATCCTACGCATACAACCACGCATATAATTATTCTGAGCTTTATGTATAAAGTTGAGGTACTTATCGAGATGTTATAGAATACCAGTCCTTGTACTTATCCTGTCTAACTTTGTAATATAATTTTAAATACATGGGTGTCTTATACAAATGCACAACAATGAATAACCGATACATTGGACTTATCAATAAAACCATTACCACATATGTGGATGTCTAGTAGAAATTATGTTTGTTGGTTTTGATTTGGGATCGTTTTTACGCCGCTTGTTTTAGATAAATATGCGTCAGATTCTTTAAGAATAGATACAATAAATTTTGGTGATGTAATATAATGTTTTTGACGTGTTTTAATAGTTGATAATATTGTTATCCGTAGGCTTTCGAAGTACTTTCTTCGTAAAGAATTATGTTGATTTTTAATTAAGGTGGCATTAGTAAAATCAATCATTCTTTTCATGTAATTGTGTATACTTTATAGAAAATAATTATTTACTTGATTATAATAAGATTAACTCATACTTGATTATAAAATTGCTAGAATTGTATTGGGCAAGCATTTCCTTGTAATATCAATGACTCCAAGCTGATTTGCTATAAGCTTTGAGTTTAACAAAACCAGTAATTTTTACATTTTTTCATTAAGTAATTTCGAATCATAACAGTTTACTTTGTTCGTTGATGATCAGAATTCTAAAGAAAGTGCATAAACTCACTTAGAAAAAGAATGTTGAACCGTTTTCAACCTGTCCTTTCTCTTGCAAATTCACAATGGTGAGTTTATCTGAACAACTGAACATTTCAATTTATACCTCTATCTTAAAGCATCGTTAAAAATTCATGTGCATTTCCTGGATTAGTAATAATAGAAAATAATTGATTTTATGTAAAACTATTAGAATAAATGTATAATATAAAATTGAAGGATTTTCTCATTGTTTGATTTATTCCATTTTAATAGTTTTGATTTTATCCAAAATAGAGTTTGAATAAAATCTGAAGGCAGTATTGCATAAGCAAACAAGTGAAGTGTTTATCGACTGAGAGTGGCGGAATAAAAGAAACAATAATCAAGATTGAGTTGAACTACTAATAGATAATAAAGTATATTTATATAGATAAGAAACTATTAACGTTTTTCGCGAATGCTGATATTTTTAAAGTTTTATTTTTACATTTTTCGTATAAACGTTAGAAAATTACGTATAATTGTTGATAAAATATTTACATATGAAATTAAAACAATGAATTCTGTTACTGGTTGCTACAATAACAAGGCACTGATTATCTTTAAAAAGAAATCTAGTTTTTAATGTAAAAACTTGGAACGTTTTTATTGTACAATCTTGTCTTTCTATGTTGAAATCAGAATTTGTGTTTTGTTAGATTTTGAGAAATTACTCTTGTTTTTATTTAAATTTATTTTGGTTTAAACCAATCCCGTTTTAATCAAAGTACTTCAAAGCTTGTTGCTCAGAGTTACTTATACTTTTATTTCAAGACAAGAACGAGCAAGAGTTAAAACATCCTTTGTTTACAAGGCCATGATGCAGAAAAATTGTACGAATCCCACAGAGTTATGTATGGCGCACGATGTTGGTGGTTAGTTAATGTCTATCGATTTTGAACGAGGCTCAAAAATTTTTCTGGCAATATCTTCGAGACGGATAACTAGTCATTTGCTAATGTCGCATTTAGTGATTACAGAAGTCGAGCTTACAATAATAATAGATATAGATATATGACTGAACTCTCCTATAAAACCACTCTAAACAGTTTGACCAAATGTTTCCTGTTTGGTAAAATCACCTTATTATATCTGCTGTGTTATGCCAAAGATTTTTGTAATTTCTTTCTTCGTCACGTGTTTAAAATTCTTTCAGTAAATCAGTCTTTCTTATAGGAAAGATCTACGGGCACTACCAAACAGGATATTA